AGCGATCAGGGATAGCGTTGAATTAGCACGGAGAAAAACAAGGGACCTGGAGGGCAATAACACTGTCAAAAAGAAGCTGCGTTGGTTCGATGAAGTGCATGTGGAAAAAGAGAAAGATAAACAGAACAAAATGAAAAGCAAATCCTTCAATCTCTGTCAACCAAAAAACAACTCGGACGACCACCAGCTAAGTCTTAGTGCGTTCTCAGGGACTTCCAAGACTGGACCCGGCATGACCCCTGCAGCCTCCACTGGTTATCAGTTTACAAAAGAAGCTTGGGCAGATGTTCAAGTCAACTTGCCCCAGCGACAAACCGATGAGGTCAAGGTACACCGCAACAGCATCAGAGCCAGTGCCCCCAAGGTCCCTCGGAAAGAGCACTTTGGCAGAGCGGGTCCTGTTTCCTCACGAACAAGAAAGGGCACGGTCATACGACCTCAGTCTGCCACCGAGGTTAGTCAGATTGCCAAAACCCAAGGGAAGGTCATGGTGCCACGTCCACCTCCTCGGATGGAATCTGCGGAGGAAAAGACGCCGTGCATCACCAAAATTCCATATGGCAGGGATCACGCGAGCGCCATCAACAAACAGGCCATGGCTGTTGAGCAGGTCCTGAACAAGAATAACTCAGAGGGCCAAATGCATAAAGAAATAACAACAGAAAATACTGTTTTAGACACACCACTGCCACCGTCATACGCCTCCCCACTCTCAGAGGGCATTGTGACGAGCATGCCCAGTTCAAGTCACCACTACAGAAGAAGGGGGGAGAATGCATGTAATGAAAAAGACTTCTGTTTAGATTGTACTCCCACAGATGAAGAAATTTCACAGCTCTGGCATGGCGTCCGCAGTGCCTTAACCACAAAGGATGGTAATGAATATTTTAGCTGATATCCTTACACATGGCTTAGGGTTCATTTGAGTGCCTCCAGAAATTTTAGGGTTTTTTTTTCTACCTGTTCAAGTTCAGATTTTACATTTTATAATGTAAGTAGTAGCTACAGTACTTTGAGCGTAAAGAGGAACAATCTTTAATGCTACTTCAGTCCCAGGATGCTGTTTGACTGTGTTCAATAGAACAAGTATGCAGAAAATAATCTGCATGATATTTGTGAGTTTTTAATCACGATTTTTAATCATTATTCCAGTTTTTTATTATTTGTAGTAATAGGCTATGCTTCAAATCATCAAACTCCTGATTTAAAATTTTAAATTTTTTTACATGGTGTTCCAGACAGCACAGTCTGGAGTATGCTTGTTCATGTAGTTATCATACCGGTGCATATGTTTTCTTTCAGCAAAACCGATACTGAAAGCACCAGCCCTGGAGAGAGGGCGAGTCTTAAGAAAGCCCTGTACAGACAAAGGCAGACAGGCTCCTGGCTCAGAGAGTAGAAGACTTCATCAGATCTCTCAGGTACATGCGTGCAGTTGCGTAGTTGCCCTGTGGGAGGTGTGAGAGTAGTTGGTAAAGATCAGTAAGTGGGTGTGTTTGAACTTGTTTTGCTGTTCCTTTTATGCTGTCCAAAGTGTTA